CATTCAGTAAAAATATTTTAAAATTATTATATAGTTTCTTTTTTATTAAATTAAATAAAACTATTATTAATTATTATCATTGTTATCATCCGCCTCAACGTTCAATTTATGCCAATAAAAAAAAAATGGAAAATCAAAATTTCTGTGCCTTGTTATTGAAGAAAGCCACTTACTTTCTTTCTTTCAGATTCTTTCAAATATTTAAGCAGATGTGATGTGTTGGAGGCAAGGTGCAACAGAGTGATCCAGCCAATCAGATGTAGCATACCAGGTCACATGATGGAATAATTTGAATTTATTCATGAGATACAGTTGAGAACATGAGAAGCATGAGTTAGACGTTTCAGGATTCCGTTGACTGACCTGATTTCATCTAGTCTACCTCCTGCCTTGTTATTAATTGTCTGCATTCAATTTATTAAGAGCGGCTTCTCAGGTAAGTGAATTGGATATTTTGTAATTATTTGTATAGGTGAGTGTGAAAAAGATGAATTCATGGCATCACTCAGATTTCTACTGAAACATGTGGTTGAACCTATTATGTTACTTGTATATGGGTGTGTTCTGTCTGTGATGCCCTGTATGTACAACAGACAACCCACTTACTTGCAATTGACATTATGCAGGTATATCCACAACATACGTATTTTACATGCACATGTAAATGTTGTATTTGACTAATTATTTAAACTAAATGATTCTCATTCACTGCAGCATATGTTAATTTTGCACACTCAGCAAGTAATAACGATAAAACCCATTTAGCTTAGTGCTCGTAGATATATGTCATGTGTGAGGTTTTTACCCAATACCTGATGTGTTATATGATGAAGTTGTTGTTATGCTTATTAGTAATTGAGTCTAATGAGCTAGCGATGATTTATACTTAACATAAAACACTACTAAAGTTTACATGTTATCTTGTGTGAAAATCCTACTAAATTTGGAATATTCAATTCAGAATTCATCAGCAAATAGGGATAGGGTCAATATCCAGAATTCATCACCAATGAGAGATGGGGTCATTATCCAGAATTCATCACCAATAAGTGATGGGGTCAATATCCAGAATTCATCACGAATGAGGGATGGGGTAAATATCGAGAATTCATCACCAATGAGTGATGGGGTCAATATCCAGAATTCATCACCAATGAGTGATGGGGTAAATATCGAGAATTCATCACCAATGAGGGATGGGGTAAATATCCAGAATTCATCACCAATAAGAGATGGGGTCAATATCTAGAATTCATAACCAATGAGTGATGGGGTTAATATCCAGAATTCATCACCAATGAGTGATGGGGGCAATATCCCGAATTCATCACCAATGAGTAATGGGGGCAATATCCCGAATTCATCACCAATGAGGGATGGGGTCAATATCCAGAATTTATCACCAATGAGTGATGGGGTCAATATCCAGAATTCATCACCAATGAGTGATGGGATAAATATCCAGAATTTATCACCAATGAGTGATGGGGTCAATATCCAGAATTCATCACCAATGAAGGATGGGATAAATATTCAGAATTAATCACCAATGAGGGATGGGGTCAATATCGAGAATTCATCACCAATGAGGGATGGGGTCAATATCCAGAATTAATCACCAATAAGAGATGGGGTCAATATCCAGAACTCATCACCAATGAGTGATGGGGTAAATATCGAGATTTCATCACCAATGAGGGATGGGGTAAATATCGAGAATTCATCACCAATAAGGGATGGGGTCAATATCTAGAATTCATAACCAATGAGTGATAGGGTAAATATCGAGAATTCATCACCAATGAGTGATGGGGTAAATATCGAGAATTCATCACCAATGAGTGATAGGGTAAATATCCAGAATTCATCACCAATGAGGGATGGGGTCAATATCCAGAAATTATCACCAATGAGTGATGGGATAAAGATCCAGAATTCATCACCAATGAGGGATGGGGTAAATATCGAGAACTCATCACCAATAAGGGATGGGGTCAACATCTAGAATTCATAACCAATGAGTGATAGGGTAAATATCGAGAATTCATCACCAATGAGTGATGGGGTAAATATCGAGAATTCATCACCAATGAGTGATGGGGTCAATATCCAGAAATTATCACCAATGAGTGATGGGGTCAATATCCAGAATTCATCACCAATGAGTGATGGGGTCAATATCCAGAATTAATCACCAATGAGTGATGGGGTCAATATCCAGAATTCATCACCAATGAGTGATGGGTCAATATCCAGAATTCACCACAAATGAGTGATAGGGTAAATATCGAGAATTCATCACCAATGAATGATGGGGTAAATATCGAGAATTCATCACCAATGAGTGATGGGGTCAATATCCAGAATTCTCCACAAATGAGTGATAGGGTAAATATCGAGAATTCATCACCAATGAGTGATGGGGTAAATATCGAGAATTCATCACCAATGAGTGATGGGGTCAATATCCAGAAATTATCACCAATGAGTGATGGGGTCAATATCCAGAAATTATCACCAATGAGGGATGGGGTCAATATCCAGAATTCATCACCAATGAGTGATGGGGTCAATATCCAGAATTCACCACAAATGAGTGATAGGGTAAATATCGAGAATTCATCACCAATGAGTGATGGGGTAAATATCGAGAATTCATCACCAATGAGTGATGGGGTAAATATCGAGAATTCATCACCAATGAGTGATGGGGTCAATATCCAGAATTCATCACCAATGAGTGATGGGGTCAATATCCAGAATTCATCACCAATGAGTGATGGGGTCAATATCCAGAATTCATCACCAATGAGTGATGGGGTCAATATCCAGAATTAATCACCAATGAGGGATGGGGTCAATATCCCAAATTCATCACCAATGAGTGATGGGGTCAATATCCAGAATTAATCATCAATGAGGGATGGGGTCAATATCCCAAATTCATCACCAATGAGGGATGGGATAAATATCCAGAATTAATCACCAATGAGGGATGGGGTCAATATCCAGAATTAATCACCAATGAGGGATGGGGTCAATATCCAGAATTAATCACCAATGAGGGATGGGGTCAATATCCAGAATTAATCACCAATGAGGGATGGGATAAATATCCAGAATTCATCACCAATGAGTGATGGGGTCAATATCAAAAATTATCACCAATGAGGGATGGGATAAATATCCAGATTCATCACCAATGAGGGATGGATAAATATCCAGAATTCATCACCAATAAGAGATGGGGTCAATATCCAGAATTCATCACCAATGAGGGATGGGGTCAATATCTAGAATTCATCACCAATTAGGGATGGGGTCAATATCCAGAATTCATGACCAATGAAGGATGGGGTCAATATCCAGGATTTATCACAAATGAGTGATGCGATCAATATCCAGAATTTATCACAAATGAGTGATGGGATCAATATCCAGGATTTATCACAAATGAGTGATGCGATCAATATCCAGGATTTATCACAAATGAGTGATGCGATCAATATCCAGAATTCATCACCAATAAGAGATGGGGTCAATATCCAGAATTCATCACCAATGAGGGATGGGGTCAATATCCAGAATTCATAACCAATGAGTGATGGGGTTAATATCCAGAATTCATCACCAATGAGAGGTGGGATAAATATCCAGAATTTATCACAAATGAGTGATGGGATAAATATCCAGAATTCATCACCAATAAGGGATGGGATAAATATCCAGAATTCATCACCAATGAAGGATGGGGTCAATATCCAGAATTTATCACAAATGAGTGATGGGGTCAATATCCAGAATTCATCACCAATGAGTGATGGGGTCAATATCCAGAATTCATTACCAATGAGGGATGGGATAAATATCCAGAATTCATCACCAATGAGGGATGGGGTCAATATCCAGAATTCATCACCAATGAGGGATGGGATAAATATCCAGAATTCATTACCAATGAGGGATGGGATAAATATCCAGAATTCATCACCAATGAGGGATGGGGTCAATATCCAGAATTCATTACCAATGAGTGATGGGGTCAATATCCAGAATTCATCACCAATGAGGGATGGGATAAATATCCAGAATTCATCACCAATGAGGGATGGGGTCAATATCCAGAATTCATCACCAATGAGGGATGGGATAAATATCCAGAATTCATCACCAATGAGGGATGGGATAAATATCCAGAATTCATCACCAATGAGGGATGGGGTCAATATCCAGAATTCATCACCAATGAGGGATGGATAAATATCCAGAATTCATCACCAATTAGGGATGCAATAAATATCCAGAATTTATCACCAATGAGTGATGGGATCAATATCAAAAAATCATCACCAATGAGGGATGGGATCAATATCCAGAATTCATTACCAATGGAGGGATAGGGTCAATATCCAGAATTCTCACCAATGAGGGATGGGGTAAATATCCAGAATTCATCACCAATGAATGATGGGGTCAATATCCAGAATTTATCACAAATGAGGGATGGGGTCAATATCCAGAATTCATCACCAATGAGTGATGCGATCAATATCAAGTATTCATTACCAATGAGAGACGGGATAAATATCCAGAATTCATTACCAATGAAGGATGGGGTGAATATCCAGAATTCATTACCAATGAAGGATGGGGTGAATATCCAGGATTCATCACAAATGAGGGATGGGGTCAATATCCAGGATTTATCACAAATGAGGGATGGGATAAATATCCAGAATTTATCACAAATGAGGGATGGGGTCAATATCCAGGATTCATCACAAATGAGGGATGGGGTCAATATCCAGAATTCATCACCAATGAGAGGCGGGATAAATATCCAGGATTCACTGCCAATGAATGTTGGGGTCAATATCCAGAATTCATTATCAATGAGTGATGGGGTCAATATCCAGAATTCATCACCAATGAGTGATGGGGTCAATATCCAGAATTCACTGCCAATGAATGATGGGGTCAATATCCAAAATTCATCACCAATGAGCGATGGGGTCAATACCCAGAATTCATCACCAATGAGGGATGGGGTCAATATCCAGAATTCATCACCAATGAGTGATGGGGTCAATACCCAGAATTCATCACCAATGAGGGATGGGGTCAATATCCAGAATTCATCACCAATGAAGGATGGGGTCAATATCCAGAATTCATTGCCAATGAGTGATGGGGTCAATATCCAGAATTCATCACCAATGAGTGATAGGGTCAATACCCAGAATTCATCACCAATGAGTGATAGGGTCAATATCCAGAATTCATCACCAATGAGTGATGGGGTCAATATCCAGAATTCATCACCAATGAGTGATGGGGTCAATATCCAGAATTCATCACCAATGAGTGATGGGGTCAATATCCAGAATTCACTGCCAATGAATGATGGGGTCAATATCCAAAATTCATCACC